AAAAATAATTTTTGTTAATACTATTGGGTGTCTGGGACGATTTAATTGAATTTACATTATTTCTTATGGGGAAAATGCGAGGGTCTTGGCAAGAGGTGTGGAGTTAAAAGATAAAGAATTAAACACAAAGTGGGAGTTGTCGCAGTTGCTTTTTGCTGATGACACTGTGCTCTTGGGAGATTCTGAAGAGAAGTTGCAGAGGTTGGTGGATGAATTTGGTAGGGTATGTAAAAGAAGAAAATTAAAAGTGAATATAGTATAGATTAAGGTTATGAGGATAACAAAAAGATTAGGTGATGAAAGATTGGATATCAGATTGGAGGGAGAGAGTATGGAGGAGGTGAATGTATTCAGATATTTGGGAGTGGACGTGTCAGCAGATGGGTCTATGAAAGATGAAGTGAATCATAGAATTGATGAGGGGAAAAGGGTGAGTGGTGCACTTAGGAGTCTGTGGAGACAAAGAACTTTGTCCTTGGAAGCAAAGAGAGGAATGAATGAGAGTATAGTTTTACCAACACTCTTATATGGGTGTGAAGCATGGGTGATGAATGTTGCAGTGAGGAGAAGGCTGGAGGCAGTGGAGATGTCATGTCTGAGAGCAATGTGTGGTGTGAATATAATGCAGAGAATTCGTAGTTTGGAAGTTAGGAGGTGTGGGATTGCCAAAACTGTCGTCCAGAGGGCTGAGGAAGGGTTGTTGAGGTGGTTCGGACATGTAGAGAGAATGGAACAAAACAGAATGACTTCGAGTGTGTATAAATCTGGAGTGGAGGGAAGGCAGGGTAGGGGTCGGCCTAGGAAAGGTTGGAGGGAGGAGGTAAGGTGGTTTTGTGTGCAAGGGGCTTGGACTTCTAGCAGGAGTGAATGGAGACAAATGGTTTTTAATACTTGACGTGCTGTTGGAGTGTGAGAAAAGTAACATTTATGAACGGATTCAGGGAAACCGGCAGGCAGGACTTGAGTCCTGGAGATGGGAAGTACAGTGTCTGCACTCTGAAGGAGGGCTGTTAATGTTGCAGTTTTATAAACTGTAGTGTAAAGCACCCCTCTGGCAAGACAGTGATGGAGTGAATGATGATGAAAGTTTTTCTTTTTCGGGCCACCCTGCCTTAGTGGGAATCAGCCGATGTGTTAATAATAAAAAAAAAAAATAAAAATGGTTTTGACACTCGTGAATTCCGACTTTCAGTAGACTCTCTGGAACGGATTAATCACGAAACTCAGGAGTCCACTGTAATGTGTTGTGTGAATATCATGCAGAGAATTCGAAGTGCAGAAATTAACTTTTTCAGGGTTGGTACTGTACTAGTACGGCTTGCACGCCAAGGTTGGTGCCGTACTAGTACGCGTAAATTCCAGCGCTTTCAAATCTAGCGAGAGAAAGCTGGTAGGCCTACATATGAAAGAATGGGTCTATGTGGTCAGTGTGCACAGTATAAAAAAAATCCTGCAGCACACAGTGCATAATGAGAAAAAAAAACTCCGACCATGTTTTTGGTTTAAAACAGCGATTTTGCAGTGTATTTTTGTACAGTATTTATGGTTGTATTCTAGTTTTCCTGGTCTCATTTTATAGAATAGAAGACATATTGCAGAAATTGAAATCATTTTGATTGGTTTCACAATGAAAAGTACAGTGGAACCTCTACTTGCGAGTGCATCCACCTGCGAGTTTTTCCAAATACGAGCAGTCGATTTTTTGCTTCCATACATGAGCAAAATTTCCACAAGTGAGCAGACCTCAAGGCAGGTACCTTGATGCTGGTAAGGGGCTCTTGCTCTTGATCTAGCGAATTGTATCTCATTTGTATGTTGGACTATCTTATTGAAACTTGGGCAATGTATGATGGAAAGATGCTTCTTAATGTACACCAAAAATGAAAGAAATCTAAGCATAAATAATGGAGTTCACTTCTCAGCAATTTGTCATGTGGGTTCAATAACGTGGATGCGGTAAAAACACTCACGTAGGCTCGTTAGTACGTATAATTATAATGGAAATTATGGGAAGCACCATCAGCCGCCCTGCCTCTCTCTGCTCCTTATCTCAGACTGACCCACCAGTGCCTAGCAGGTGAGCGGCATTCAAAAACATGCTATGGTCAGCAGCAACATGGATAACAGTCAGTGATTCACAAAGACGATTAGTAGTGAGTCATCTACTGGTAACTGGTATTACTGAGAATTAGCCACCCCTTAGCAGTATTTTCTTACGGTTTTTATGGTTGTATTCTTGTTTTTTGGTCTCATTTGATAGAATGGAAGATATATTACAGAAATATATATGATTTTCATTGCTTTCATTACGAAAAGTACTTTGAAATTGAGCTCATTGTAGGAGAAATGATTGATTGCTTTGGACATGTTCAAGAGTAAACATTCTGTCCATTCCAATATGCAGTCGTGAATGGGTTGACATTATTTATACAATTATTGCATTAAGGCAAAACAGTAAATCTTATATTTTTTGTGTGAATAAAAATTACAAATTATTTATATTTTATTAATTTTAGAGTATATATCAGATTTCTATGTTATTTATATTGTTTATTATGTCATATTAGATAAAGTGAGATAGATAAATAAACTGCAGAGTTGATATTAGTGAAATTATTGAAGTACAGAATTCCACTGGAATGGATTAATTACATTTTAATTAATTTAAATGAGGAAAATTGACTCTGCAAACGAGCAAATCCAGTTGCGAGCAAGGTCATGGAATGGATTAAACTCGCAAGTAGAGGTTCCACTGTACCTTGATATTGAGCTCAAAGTAGCAGAAATGTTCAATTTTTGCCAAAGTTCAAAAGTAAACAAATCATGCCATGCGTCTAATACACGTCAACTGGTGAGTCTGATATTCTTTCACGAATGTCCCGATATTATTTATACCATTTCTACACTAATGCAGTAGTCTGCATAATAGTAAATCTTCTATTTTTTAGTGAGAACAAAAATTCAAAGTGGAAAGTAAAAGAAATGTAAGAGGGGCCTGGGGACGTAATTAATGAACAGAGAAAATGTTATTTTAGTGCCAGGAATGTCTGTCTTGTTTATTCTGGACCCTATTTGGAAATTGGCATCTTTTGAAATTTGTGTGAAATTGGCAAAATTGCCAATTTCTGACTACTTTATTGGATGGCTGAAATCAGTAAATGGGTGGTTTCTTGTACTCATTTGATAGAAAAAGTGGAATTCTAGCGAAATAGTTATGATTTCTGTCGACTGGTACATTGGAATTGGCTGAAAATAGGGCTCAAAGTGGGCAAAATCGCCAATGCGTAAACATCGTCAAGACTGCTAACTTTGCAAGAGCATAATTCCGTAAGTTTTCCATCAAATTTCATACTTTTGGTGTCATTACGATCGGAAAAAGATTCTCTATCATTTTGTCAGAAAATTTTGTTTTTTTTCTGAAACATTTTCAACCCTGAGAACAAGTTTAGGAGAGGGCCTCTCGACCCTGAAAGGGTTAACCCTTTCAGGGTTCAGAGGCCAAATTTCAAAGGGTGCACCAGTGTCCAAGAATTTTCAAAAGATAATTTTAGTTCTTCTTATGAAATGGTAGAGAATCTTCTTCTGAAGGTAATAAAACAAAAAGTACGAAGTTTGATGGAAAATTGACGAAATTATGCTCTCGCGAATTTTGATGTGTCAGCGATATTTACACACCAGCGATTTTGTGGATTTTAACTCTCATTTTAGGCCAATTACATTATTCCAGTTGACCAAATTCTTAGCTATTTCACTAGTATTACTTCTATTCTATCGACTGAGCACAAGAATTCGCCAAGTCAACTGTTTCAACTACAAAATAAAGTGACTGGAAATTGGTAATTTGGCCAATTTAATGCAAAGTTTAAAATACTCCAATTTCAAAATAGGGTCAGAATAAACAATGCTGGCATTCCTGGCACTAAACTAACATTTCCTCTGTTTATTAGTTATGTTTTCAGGCTTTACTAATGAATTCCATTTTGATTTTTTATTCACATAATGAATTTTCATTCAAACCAAAAAATAGAAGACTTACTGTTATGCAACATTGTGATAATTGTATAAATAATATTAGCACATTTGTGAACGTACATTAGACCCACCAGCTGGCGTGTATTAGACGTGTGAGGTCATTTGTTTACTCTTGAACATCGGCAAAAATTTAACATTTCCGCTACTTCGAGCTCAGTTTTAAGCCATTTCCAGTACTAAAACCAACCAAAATCATCTCTATTTCTGTAATATATCTTCCATTCTATCAAATGAGACCAAGAAATCACTGCAAAGTTGCTGTTTTAATCGAAAATTACGGTCTCAGTTTTTTCTCTCATTATGTACTATGTGCTGCAGGATTTGTTTTATGTGGTGCACACATACCACATGGATGTATTTTCTCATATCAAGACCAAAATTTACCACTCACAGCTTATCAGAGTGAGCTGAGCTCATGACGTAGATCTACGGTTTGGACCCTCAACGTAAAGCCGTAGATCTACGGCACAGACCCTCAAGGGGTTAAAGGTGATGTAGCGTGACTAATGATATAATCCAGAGAGCAGAAGAGGGGTTGTGGTGGTGGTCTGTGCATGTGGAGAGGATGGTCAGGGACAGGTTCATAAAGAATGTCTAGGAATTTGAGGTGTTATCCCAGAAATGGTTGGACTCCTGGGAGAAGGTACAAGAAACCCAAAGTTTTAGAGGCTTCAGCATCCAGCATTCTAAAAGATCTGTCCTCTTCCTAAACACTGAATTTATACCTCAGTTTCATGTGCTACATTTAATATTTTTTCAAAGTTTCTAAAAACAAAAATATGATCTCTAACTCCTTATCTAACTACAGTACATTCACTATTAACAAATATACCCATATTAGCTTTCTCCTTCATTTCTCTCTCTAAAATACATTTTGTATTCAACAGTGTTTGTTACGAATACCTCACTATTTCTTCCATGCTTTAAATTCATTTTCCATAAGTGAAGTTCTACTAAAAGAATAGTACCTTAGCAGCTTCCTCTCTTGAGCCATAGTTAACTAGGGCAAAGCCGTGGTTGAGGGACAGGTAGAAGTTGACCAGCGGCCCATGCTGCATGCACAGTGTCTTCAGGGTAGAACCATCAATCTGGCAAAAAAATTGTAAAAACCTGAAGCACAGAGTTGTCATTATAGATATAATTACAAAATCATATAAAAATACATGATTGGAATACTGACTCAAAGCTTTTTTATATTATTTCATACAATATGTCATTTAAAGCTCAAGGAATTAAACAACTCATTTAAAATGTGAACAGAGCAATCACTTGAACACTTCCCAAACCTGCTACCAGGATGTCACATCTCCAAATAACACTAGGGCCACTCTTACATGTTTAAAAAAATCACAAGATAACTGCCATAAAGGATATACAATACCATAAATTAAGGCAACATATTATATAATGCCTAAGTGTACAAAATTGCCACAAGAAACATACATTACCATAAATTAATATAATAAATTACACAATACCCAAATTTACAAAACTGGAAGCAATTTAGTTTGAATATTATTTCAATACTGAAAGAACCACTGAACAGTAAAATACAAAAAAGTTAAAAGCCATCTGTATATTACAGGCTCAGCAAGTCTTCAACAGATCTGAGGTTCAAACACTACTTATAAATCTCTTTTATCAGTGTTTAAATTTTTCTGTTCAAGTAGTTATTCACCTTCCATTAATCAATATTTTTTACACTAACTGAAGCCCTCATTTATAAATTAATGCTTGCAGTATTTAGAGTACATGGACAATCACCTAAATGGTTATCAATGTTTTCAGAGGTTTTTCTTATCAAGCCTAGTAGCATGTTCCTCATAACCGTAATATTGACACTATTGTATTCATTGAACTTAGGGTCTTCTGTCATTGGTAGCCCTAGGTTGCACATTTTTATCTCTGCTCAAATGTGTGGTTTGACTGCATTTTGTACTCTTACCATACAGCACATTGCAAAACCCCAGGTATAAGCAAATTAAATTTAACAATTTAACAAAAGCTATGATCAAACAATGTATTTACCAAAATCTCCACTGGAGGGCTATAAAGCACAAAATCCATACAATAAAAACACCTAGTGATAGTGCAGGGAGTAAATTCATTACAATTTCCTTTAACTGTTCTTGAAACATTAAAAATGAAGATGCACACACTAAAACCACAAATGATCATAAATTTTGGGGACACTTTACCTTCTGCTGAAAAAACTTAGCATTAACCCTTTCATTGTTGGTGCCATATAGGTACGGCTTACAAGCCAGTGTTGGTGACGTATTAATACCCCAAAATTCTACCAGCTTCAAATTAGCAGGAGAAAGCTGGTAGACCTACACGTGAGAGATTGGGTCTGCATGGTTAGTATGGTATTAACTGTTGTATTCTCGTTTTCGTCGTTTCATTTGATGAATGGAAGATATATTACAGAAATAGAGATGATTTTGATTGGTTTCACGTTGAAAAATACCTCAAAATTGAGCTCAAAGTAGTGGAAATGTTCAATTTTTGCCGACGTTGAAGAGTAAATAAAGGACATCACTGTCCAATACGTGTCCAACTGGCCAGTTTAATACGCAGTCACGAATGGGTTGACATTATTTATACAATTATTACAGTAATGCACGACTCTGCCTAACAGTAAATCATCTATTTTTTTTCTGAATAAAAACTGAAAACAGAAAGCAAGAGTAAAATAGGAGGGTCCTGGAGACATGATTAACAAACAGAGAAAATGTTATTTTAGTGCCAGGAATGTCTGCATTGTTTATTCTGGACCTTATTTTGAAATTGGCATCTTTTGAAATTTGTGTAAAATTGGGCAAACTGCCAATTTCTGACAATTGGATAGTTCAAATCGGTAAATGGGCGTTTTTGGTACTCAATCGATAAAACAAATAGAGTTCTAAACAAACAGCTATGAGTTTGGTCAACTGGAACAATGGAACTGGCCACAAATAGGGCTCAAAAAGGGCAAAATCACCAAGGCATATATATCAACGAGACCTAACACTTCACGAGAGAGTAATTTTATAAGTTTTCCATCAAATTTCGTACTTTTGGTTAAAAAGGCTTTGATTTTGCAGAGGATTTGTCATGTCCATTAGAATGACTACAAAGAAAACCTTTCCCACACAAGTTTCTGACTAAAGTTTATAAAACAAACTACTGCTATGAAAGCTCTACAGTATAACCACACACTGGTGAGTCAAGTAATAATTATGCTAGTACAATATCTAACAGTTTATTCTTCAGATTACTTATTATTTGACTTTACCTTGACTTTTCTCTTTAAATTCTGACCAATAATCTATAAAAGGACCACGACTTGAGCCCCTGTCCACTCCACTGCTTATTCACTTATCATCATTCATTACAACTTCTCTTGAGTTTATGGGCAACATGGCTGTGAGGGTTGTGAGGGTAGATGTACAACACTATAAAGCTTCTGAAGCCATGGGATGGAACAATAGGGTAACAGCCGGTGGACAATGACACAAACATGTCTAAGTAGTGATGTCTGTGAAACCTTCCTGTCTGAAAGCCTTGAAACCTAGTGTTGCACCACTGAACCTGCTACATGCCAGAAACTACAAAAATGTCGAATAGTATGACAAACAGAAAAGGAAAACAGAACAGAATAGAAAGGGAGACAGAGACAGAGTGAGTGTGAGTGCGAGTGAGTGTGAGTGTGAGTGTGAGTGTGAGTGTGAGTGTGAGTGTGAGTGTGTGTGTGTGTGTGTACGTGTACTCACCTAACTGTGGTTGCAGGGGTCGAGACTCAGCTCCTGGCCCCGCCTCTTCACTGATCGCTACTGGATCCTCTCTCTCTCTGCTTCCTGAGCTTTGTCATACCTCTTCTTAAAACTATGTATGGTTCCTGCCTCCACTACTTCACTTGCTAGGCTATTCCACTTGCTGACAACTCTATGACTGAAGAAATACTTCCTAACGTCCCTGTGACTCGTCTGAGTCTTCAGCTTCCAGTTGTGACCCCTTGTCCCTGTGTCCCCTCTCTGGAACATCCTATCTCTGTCCACCTTGTCCATTCCCCGCAGTATCTTGTATGTCGTTATCATGTCTCCCCTGACCCTTCTGTCCTCCAGTGTCGTCAGTCCGATTTCCCTTAACCTTTCCTCGTACGACATTCCCTTGAGCTCTGGGACTAGCCTTGTTGCAAACCTTTGTACTTTCTCTAACTTCTTGACGTGCTTGACCAGGTGTGGGTTCCAGACTGGTGCTGCATACTCCAGTATGGGCCTAACATACACAGTGTACAGTGTCTTGAAGGATTCCTTATTAAGGTATCGGAACGCTATTCTCAGGTTTGCCAGGCGCCCGTATGCTGCAGCGGTTATTTGGTTGACGTGTGCCCTGGATGGGAGAGTGTTTTTTTGCCTGTTGCATTTTTATGTGTGTGTGTGTGTGTGTACTCACCTAGTTGAGGTTGCCGGGGTCGAGACCAAGCTCCTGGCCCCGCCTCTTCACTGGTCGCCACTAGGTCACTCTCCCTGAACCATGAGCTTTATCGTACCTCTGCTTAAAGCTATGTATGGATCCTGCCTCCACTACATCTCTTCCCAAACTATTCCACTTCCTGACTACTCTGTGGCTGAAGAAATACTTCCTAACATCCCTGTGATTCATCTGTGTCTTCAGCTTCCGACTGTCTCCCATTGTTGCTGTGTCCAGTCTCTGGAACATCCTGTCTTTGTCCACCTTGTCAATTCCTCTCAGTATTTTGTAAGTCGTTATCATGTCCCCCCATCTCTCCTGTCCTCCAGTGTCGTCAGGTTGATTTCCCTTAACCTCTCCTCGTAGGACATACCTCTTAGCTCTGGGACTAGTCTTGTGGCAAACCTTTGCACTTTCTCTAGTTTCTTTACATGCTTGGCTAGGTGTGGGTTCCAAACTGGTGCCGCATACTCCAATATGGTCAGGGCAGTGCTGCCCTCTGAGTCACATGTCACACCTTAGGAAATGCTACTGTCAGTCATTGTTTGCAGATGTGAGGGTGCAACAACGTTCGTAGACGAGTGGTCAACTGATGTTCAGCCCTGCGGACAACCTGTATATAGAAGATTTTAGTTCCAGTGCTGACGTCTCCGGACTCTCTCCTCGATGAAACAGCACGGGCAAACCAGTTTTCTCTTCCCCTGGATGGGAGAGTGTTTTTTTGCCTGTTGCATTTTTATGTCCATTTTTGATTTACAAGTGAGCGAAAGCCAGTCCCTCTCTGGGGTAGCTAGTGTAAGTAATTCCTTTATACCTACGGGCCCACCAGTATTGTCGCGTCGGGACGATGCGAGGTGCGTGGCCGAGCAAATGTAGACAGCCTGTACTGTCAGAACACACAGCCTAGCCGTGTGCTCTGACTAGTTCATATTTCGTGGCATTTAGGTGCTGCCCTCTGTAAGCTCACCCAGGTCAATGGGAGGCTGAGCCCATTCGCTCTCACTCCTAGGCCGACCCACTTGATAGACACAAGTGCTCCCCCTCCACGGACTGGCTTGCGGTCACTCCCTCACACTGCCTGTTGTGTACTCACTCCTATCCAATTAAAGCCAAACTAGTCCACGGCCGTATCATTGCTACCTACGCTACCTTCATTGGCACTAAACCGCTGTTCAGCAGCAAGAACAGCTTCAGGAGATGTGCCTGGTGTTATACTCGCCCCAAGATCTTTTTCCTTGAGTGAGGTTCGTAGTCTCTGGCCCCCTAGACTGTACTCCGTCTGCGGTCTTCTTTGCCCTTCCCCAATCTTCATGACTTTGCACTTGGTGGGATTGAACTCCAGGAGCCAATTGCTGGACCAGGTCTGCAGCCTGTGCAGATCTCTTTGTAGTTCTGCCTGGTCTTCGATCGAATGAATTCTTCTCAACAACTTCACGTCATCTGCAAACAGGGACATTTCGGAGTCTATTCCTTCCGTCATGTCGTTCACAAATACCAGAAACAGCATTGGTCCTAGGACTGACCCCTGTGGGACCCCGCTGGTCACAGGTGCCCACTCTGACACCTCACCAAGTACCATGACTCGCTGCTGTCTTCCTGACAAGTATTCCCTGATCCATTGTAGTGCCTTCCC